CGGTTTCCAGGACACCTGTACGTCGTGCGGCGGCTTCCGGCGGCCGGAGGAGCTGGGCCGGGTGGACGGCGACTTCCTGGAGGCGGTCAAGCGGCACATCTTGAACCGCTTGCAGTTGCGGGGTCGGCCCAACATCACGCACGCCGTGCCCAAGGCCGCCATGGTCACGGCTCTGCGCAAGCTGCACGCGGGCAAGGTACGCGAGGACGGCCGCGTGGAGATCCCGCACCTCGACGGCCACGCCAGCCCAGGCGCCGACGGCCAGGAGCGCGTCTCGGAAATCATCAGCTTTGCGGAGACAGGTGGGTCCGGCCTTCCGGCGGCTAAGCGGTCTGTGCGCCCTCCCTCTTTTTCTCCCTCCCCCTCTCCCTCTCTGTCTTTGCCAGCTCCGGCCGCAGGGTCCGCCGCATCCCGCACGCCCCAGGGACAACCTGGACTCTAGGCCGGGCTTTTCGGCGTGGCTCTGTGGGCTTCTCCTAGGTTGCAGTCCATTTCCCCCAGGCCGCAGACCCTTTTCTGCTCCCGGATTCCCGCCGCCGTGAGCCCTGCCCTCCACCCCTACTCTCGGGAATTGGGCCCCAGCGCCTCTGGGCGCACGTCCCCCTCCTGGCAGATGCGCGGCCCTGGCTCTGCGGGCACTTGCTTGGTGATTGCTTAATGTTTTTGTTTCCCACGATCGGAGTGTAGGCTTAGCAGTGTGGATGGAGATATGTGTGCTTGTTGATATACGTGGGCCGGAGTGTGTGTGTGTGTGTGTGTGTATGTGCGCGCTCGCGCACACACACACGCATTTGTGTGTGAGAGTGCTCGCGCGCGCTTGCGCGCGCTCGCCTGCCTAAGAGGCCCCCGGGGGCTGCTTCCATTGCCGGGCGGCGTGGGCTTGCCAGGATTGCTGAAGCCTCTCCGGGGAGAGCTAGGCAACCTCTCTTCCGATTGTGTGGGCACCAGAATCGGGCGGAAGGCAGGCTTCTCAACAGGTCCATCATTTAAGCAGAGAAAGAGGCGGCTCAGGGGACATCCCTGTGCCTTTCCTCCTGCCTGGCAGCAGCGACAGCCCTCTGGTCAGAGAGCCACAGAGTTGGTAGTTAACAAAGGGTAGGACTCTTCTGGAATTTTCCCCTGGCCCCAGATTGCAACTCCTTACCATTGTCGAAATGTAAAAATCAGGAAGAGAAAAATCTTTGAGAAGTTTAAAATGAGGAGGAAAATGTGCCCGCGCTGAAATGCTGCAAGTGCTTTTGACTCCGCTGTCCTTTTCAGGACTTGAATGAGCCAGGCTGGCTTTTGTGCCTGGAGCTCGGCTGCATTTGTGCGGAGGGGACTGCAGAGAAGGTCGGAGAGGGGAACTCCCTGGTGCAGTGGAGGGGGGCAGGCAGGAGTCTGTGAGAGGAGGGGGGATTGGTTGTGCCCCTGGCTGCAAATCCCCCCTCTCCAGGCAGCAGGAAGACCGTTCTGGTGGCTCCTGGGGATGAAAAGGGATGAAAAGTTTTGCATGGCCGGGTGTGGAGAAAAGCAGAGACAATCAGGGTTGGTTTGTGCTTAGAAAGAAATGCATTGCCGTTTTAGCTGTCCGCCCGAGTCAGGGAGAGCTCGACATGCAATTAGAGGGTTTGGATTAAAAGGTGCTTTGGGGCCCAGGGTAGAAATGTGATTCGGAAAGGTCGAGGAGGCCTTTTGGTCCTGGTGGCACAAAATGACAGCGGGGGCTGTTATATTTCTGGTCCATTTCACGGAGCCAGCTCTTTGACTTATAAATAACAGATTCAGGTCACAGGCAGCTTGTCCAAGACCAGCTTTTAAGGCTGCAGTTTCCCCCATTTCGAAGTCAGATGTCAGTGTTATTAGAGGAGCCAGGCAGAGCCTGAGGAGGGGGCTAGGGCAGCCATGGTGGAAGGTTTGATAAACCAGCCGTGTCCACAGAGTTGCCTTATTCCTGGAAAAAAAAAAGAAAAGAAAAAAGTAGATTGTCAGAGGGAAGGGTCATGGAAATGTAGGATGGGCTGGCATAGCTGATCTTCTTGTTGAGCTGAATTATCTGAGAAAGTAACAAACTAACCCCCCTTTTCCTTGGAGATTTTGAAAGTGCCATGAACAGGGAGCCAGGGTCTGGTCAAAGAATTGGTCCTCAAGTTTCAAGGCTGAATGTCCTGTCCCTTAGAACTACTGGGAAACAAGGGCTGCACTTTGCAGCCTGCAAAGCACACGTTCCTGTGTCAGAAATCTGAGCAGAGCATGCCTGTTTGCAGTGGAGGTTCCACTGGGGGTTGGATCAGATCATGCTTAGGTAAACACTGGAAAGAGGCGGTAGGTGGCTCAGCTTGATTTTGCAATGCCCTAAGTTCACCAAAAAAAAAAAAAAAAAAAGCCCTGCTTAAAACAACCCACCCCCAAATCTTCTCTGCAATCCTGGTTTTGTTTTCCAAATTTCACAGATACCCATAACAACTTGTTAAGATCTTGGCCTCTTGACAAGTTCCTCTGTTGAGCTTTGAGGCCTGACAACCAGTCTCTAGGGAGCCCTGGGCTGGGAGAGGTGAGGCAAGGTTTTATAGGCCTGGGCCCTCCAGCTCTGACCCGGTCTGGGTTTCTCAATGGGAAATGATGTTCTCTGCCTCTCCCAGGTTACAGGCAGAGGTCCGGGCCCCAGGAATGGTATTTCTGGTCAGTAACGTCTTCCAGCTGTGTGGGGAGTGTGTGTTCAGCATCGGGCAGTGGAGTATATTTCCCTGTTGCCTCGTGTTCTGCTGAAGTTAACTTGGCCTATCTCCCCCTTCTCTGCAGATGGCCTGGCCTCTTCCCGGGTCCGCCTGTATTTCTTCATCTCCAATGAAGGCAACCAGAACCTGTTTGTGGTGCAGGCCAGCCTGTGGCTTTACCTGAAACTCCTGCCCTATGTCCTGGAGAAAGGCAGCCGACGGAAGGTGCGGGTCAAAGTGTACTTCCAGGAGCAGGGCCACGGTGACAGATGGAATGTGGTGGAGAAGAAGGTGGACCTCAAGCGCAGTGGCTGGCACACCTTCCCGCTCACAGACGCCATCCAGGCCTTGTTTGAGCGAGGTGAACGGAGGCTCAACCTAGATGTGCAGTGTGACAGCTGCCAGGAGCTGGCCGTGGTGCCGGTGTTTGTGGACCCAGGCGAAGAGTCACATCGGCCCTTCGTGGTGGTGCAGGCCAGGCTGGGGGACAGCAGGCACCGCATTCGTAAGCGAGGCCTGGAATGCGATGGCCGGACCAACCTCTGTTGCAGGCAACAGTTCTTCATCGACTTCCGGCTCATTGGCTGGAACGACTGGATCATTGCACCCACTGGCTACTATGGGAACTACTGCGAGGGCAGCTGCCCGGCCTACCTGGCGGGGGTCCCAGGCTCTGCCTCCTCCTTCCACACAGCAGTGGTGAACCAGTACCGCATGCGGGGCTTGAACCCTGGCCCTGTGAACTCCTGCTGCATCCCCACTAAGCTGAGCTCCATGTCCATGCTCTACTTTGATGACGAGTACAACATCGTCAAGCGCGATGTGCCCAACATGATTGTGGAGGAATGTGGCTGTGCCTGACAGGGGCAGGCAGGGGCACGACGGCAGTGGTGCTCGGGACAGAGCCCCCCCCCGGGGGGGGGCAGGAGGTGCACAGTGGGCTGAGCACGCTTGTTCCATCGGGCTGCGGAGAGAGTCAGGTTGGGGCCCTAAAGCATTTTCTGCTACTCTGTAGAGCAACCAGTCAAACCAGAGGGCAAGCCCTCAACTGACATGAGACTTTTAAATGCACACATAGACCCGCACAGCCAGACGCATCCTGCCACCCACACAGCAGCCTCCAGGATACCAGCAAGTGGATGCGGAGACAAATGGCAGCTTAGCTACCAAGGCCTGTCAGTGGGAGAGAATGGGGTGAGCAACCACCATTCCCACCAGCTGGCCTGGCCACTCTGAATTGCGCCTTCTGAGCACACATAAAAGCACAAAGACAGAGACACTGAGAGAGGGAGAGAGAGAGAAAGAGGGAGGGAGGGAGAGAGAAGAAAGAGTGCCACTGAGAAGAAAAGCAGGGTGAGGAATGTGCAGCCAGGCAGAGGGCTGTGCGCTGTGCGTCCCCTTGACCGGTACCGGGCCTGCTCACTGCCTCAGCTCCTGCTGGAAATATGTTTGCTTCCTTCACACTCTTGGAGAGGGAAAATGGTCCAGGAAGGATACCACCTGTCAGACCATGGCACAGGACAATGACTCTGACTGTCATTGGCTCCCTGACATGACTATGTGTGTGTGTGTGTGTGTGCGCGTGCATGTGCACGTGTGCGTGCATGTGTTTGTGGGGTGGGGAGGGAGGGAGAGGAGAGGGGTCTCAATCTGATGCTTTAACTGATCTCCAGCAGCTGACAGGTCATTCGTACCAGCTGTAGAACTGAAAAGAGACTTATCTATCAGTTATCACTTTTAAGTGAAAACCCCAATTGTTCTAAATAAGAAGAAGAAAGTTGCAATCTGTGCCCTTTGCTGGGGACATTCCTCTAGGGCTGCTCGGGGACGGGGGAGAATAACCACTAGTAAAAGGGATGAGCCCAGAGGAGGCCATTGTGGGGTAGGGGATTCTGGAAACACAGGTAGGGGTTTTCCTAGTGCGGGAGTGAGAAAGAAGAGCTGCTTGGCTGGTCTTGGAGAGATGAGGAAGGCCTTCAGCTGCTTTGCAGAAGTTGCCCGTGTGGGTGGGCCCTGGCCAGCAGAGCTGGCTGTGGATGTGGCCCCTGCCTGCTCACCTGCCTGCCCGCCCGCCCCGCATAGCACTTGCAGACCTGCCTGAACGCACATGATATAGCACTTGCCGATCTGCGTGTGTCCAGAAGTGGCCGTGGGAATAGTGCTGAACTGGCTTTCCCCATACATGTCCAAGTGCCACGTGAACTATGCAATTTAAAGGGTTGACCCACACTAGATGAAACTGGACTCGTACAACTCTTTTTATATTTTTTATACTTGAAATGAAATCCTTTGCTTCTTTTTTAAGCGAATGATTGCTTTTAATGTTTGCACTGATTTAGTTGCATGATTAGTCAGAAACTGCCATTTGAAAAAAGAAGTTATTTTTATAGCAGCAAAAAAAGAATACAGTTAAATGTATTATACATAATTTTGGAACCAAAGAGGCCAACAGATCAGTTTTAATTTTTATTAGATGGTGAGGCCATCTTACATGAGGTAGACATTCTGAACAATCCTTTGAGTGGCCTGCCAATGTTTCAGGGTATAAATGGATTTTGTTTATTCAGTTTGATGTGTCTTTTCTATCCTTACACACCCAGAAGGTAGAGTAAAAATGACTGTGGTAGAATGCAGGTGTGTATCCTTAAATCCTCATCTTTATGTTTATTTAATAAAGCTCCCCTTAGGTTCTGTTTCATAATAATTTAAAACCAAACAATTTCCCCGTAGACTGGCTGTTAAAGTATTTTGCGTTCGTGTACAGTTTAAGAAAATAAAAGATTGAGTGCCACAGGCTTCCTGCCTTGTGTGATGTCTGGGGCAGTGGGCCTGGACTGGAGGTGGGCAGCTGGGAGGAGGGTCAGCCCAGGTGTCCAGCTTCAATGCCAGCAGCTCCACAGCTCATTCCTAGCGCTGAGTCCTTGCCATGAGACTTATGTCACTCAGAAGCTAGGAAAGATGGCAGAAGATCAAAATGAAGGACAATTAGCAAATTCATGAATTACACATTTGTTTACCCTTCTAGTCCCAAGACTAATTATGCTCCACTGAGGCTGCGTCTATTACCATTTGAAAGTCCCCATCCCTGGAAGTAAAAGGACGGCCTGGCTGGGGAAGCCCCTTGACCTCTGCTCACCTCAGGTGCTGATATGAGCAATGGGAACCCACCTTGGGACAGGAGGATGAGTAGAAAGGCTGTCAGTACAGTAATTATCTTTTCCTTTGGGGGTTTGAGGTGGTGGAAAGTGGTGGTGATGGCAGTGACAGCTGAGCTGCACCCTTGAGGTGTGATGAGAGACCTGTGCAGTCCTGTTTCTTGCAGCCCCTGCACCACACATCTTTACTTCCAAAGGTTGGGACTAGAAGCCTGGAGAGCCCAGGGGCCATACCCACCCTATCTGTTTCCTTAAGAGGACAGCAGTCCTCTGGCCTTCCCTTATCTGACGTTGCACAGGCCCAGCGTGGCACTGTTCTGGGTCAGCATCCCTTGTGTCTTCCCGAAAAAGTCTCAGGACATTTCTCTAACCCCATTAAGATAACAATGGGGAAACTGAGGGAGGCTAGACAGCTACAGGGATATCGTGATTCAAATAGCCACCTGATGGCAGGGGGCCTTCTTCAGCCCCTGTGTCTTTCCATTCTTCGCCCTGCCAGGGGAGTGTCTGCTCTGCTCAGCTGGTCCTGGGGGCTTGTGTTGATCTGCAAAGCTGTGAGTCAGTAGAAACTTCACAGGGGCAAAAGATGAAAATGTTGTAATATCAGGGCTGCCCTCTCCATTTTGGGGAACATGCTGTGACCCACTTGTCTCCCAGCTCTGTGTGCTGGGCCCCGCCCTCGGCCCACCCCCTGTCTCACTCCACCCTAGGATTCTTTTTGCAGGTGGAAGCCAGGAGGGGGAGCGTGAGCACAGGAGCCTCTGCTCTTTGGGTACTGAGCACTTGTGGGTGTCTCCTAGGGCTGGGCTTCCCAGGCTGCTCCTTTGAGTGCAGCATTAGCTCAAGGGAAAACTCCAGAGTCAGGAGGCTTGGGGCCTGGCAGGCATTGTCCCTGAGTGGCTCTCTGCTGCCCCATGTTGGCATGTGTCCCTGTGGGGTCTGGCTGCCCTAGAGTGCCTCTCATGGGGCCACACAGTGTGATCACAGCTTCCTTTGTCCTTCTTTCCTCACTCAGCACTCCGTCCTGTCTTCCTGTTGCTTTCTTTCCATTCTCTCTCCTGTCCCCAGGACCCACGTCTCCCCGAAGATTCTCCTTGAGCCCACCCTGCCAGGACATGGAGCAGGCAGCCCTCTCCACCCAGGCCCAGCGCCGCTGGCTGAATTCCCCCCAGCCAGACTTGAAGGCATCCCTCCCTCCTTCCTTGCCATCCCCCGCTTCTCATGGCCTCCAGACCATTACTGCTCATGCTAGGACCAGTGGGATGGGCAGAGCCTCAAAGGCACTGTCCCAGATCCCTCAGATGCTTCCCCCAGTGCCCTGAGGTGCTTGAGAGCCCCCATGTGGGGCTTCAAAGTTCTCAGCAACTCAGTGGAGCCCCAGGCATGATTCTGGGGACCCCAGGGGAAGAGAACAGTCACACTGATCTGTTCTCCATGTCCCATGCAGGGAGACTGAGGGCCAGGACCGGAGGAGCTGAGGACCTCTGTGGCTTGTGTTGTCCTCCCAGCCCTCTCAGGGCCCGGCTCTGGATGGGCACATGGGCTCCTTGTGGGGCAGCACTTAGAAGGGGCTCTGATATGTCAAAGCTGCACCCCTGCTCCCCAAGACATAGCGTGACACTGTCACCAGGGCCCTGCCAAGCTGCCAGGAAGGGCCTGGGGGAGGGACTCAGCAGTTCTGGCATCACAGCTGGGCCCTGATCCACCTGGAAGTCAGGCTGGCTCTGGGCCACACCTGTCTGGTCCTCTACAAAGCCCTGCTGGGGACCATTGCTGGGGATTCCCAATTCCCAAAAGGTCACAGGCTATGTTGACTTTGACCTTGGAGAACTCTACGGGACCCAGTCCTGGGAGGAACCAGAGTCACAGGAACCAGGGATTGTGCATGTGTGTTGACAAGGAGGTCACAGGCTGCCACCAAACCACAGAAACTGCTGTGGGCTGAGGAAAGCATGCCCTTGCAGGCAAAGCAGCAGAAACAAAACCCGTTTCTGTGGGCAGAGGCCCTGGGTGCTGCCCAGTGGGCTGCTGGGCTTTTAATGGGATGCTTGGAGCCCAAGACAGTCCTCTGTTGGGCTTGTGCATGGCAAGGCAGGGGTCTGCGTATTGTAGGGGCTGCGCGTGCGCAGTTGTAGTGTGCAGCCATAGTTTGCGGTGTGTGTGCCGTGGGGGATGGGGTGGGTAGGGCACCAGGGGTGTGGACTGGGAATTGTGGGTAAGGTGGAGTGATGTGCTGTTTGGAGATGGTAGGTGTGACTATGTGTGATGAGCATGTAGAGCTCGAGGCTGTGACTGTGGGTGTGTGCAGTTGGCTGTGTGTGTTTGGAGTGCGTGGTTGGCTGTTTCTGAGGTTGTGAGGTTGTGTGGGTGAGTGTGAGACCATGTGGAGGGTTGGAGACTGGCTGATTGTATGGGTGTGGTTGGACGCTTGGCTGTGTGCACTTCTTGTCATTTTCATTTCCTCCTCATCAAGCGGTAGTGCACCTGGCCAGTTGTGCCCTTTGCCAGTGGAGTAGTGATAAATTGGGGCAGCTGTGCCCTTGCAGTTGGGATTCATGATGCCCTTCATGCCCAGAAGGTGCTGGGCTGGCTGGGTGGGCTGGGCACAGGTGCCACTTCTGCAGTATGCACAGTACCCTTAGTGTGGTTTTCCAGTCCCCGCTGCCCTGCTCCGGGTACTCAGTGTCAGGGCATTACCCGGATGTCAGCAGCCTCAAACCTAGAGCACTTTGAAAGTGGAAAGGTACCATCTGGTCATTTGGTCTCTCAATGGACATTTACTGAGTGCCTGTTCTACCCATGTACCATCTTGGTGTAGTCCTCACACCAACCTGGGGCGGAGAGACACAGGTATCATTAACATTTACGGTCAAGAACACTGAGGCTGACATCACAGAAGCAGCTCACTGGAGGCTGCAGAGTGCCTGAGGAGCAGTGCGGATTTCGGCCCCGGCAGCTGTTCCAGAGTCACTCATAGCCAGTGGGCTGCCCATAGGACAGTGACAGTGCCTATCAGAGGCTGCTGAGAACACAGACATGTCTAGAATAGGGCTGGTCTCTGTGTGGTTTCCTTCTTGCTGTTCTCCAGCATGTTCTCAGGATGGATACTGGGCGCCTGGTTGGAGTCCCACCTTTGTCTCTGTGGCACCTCTTTCGTCCTCATTCATTCCCTGAGTATTCGCAGGGCCCTGGACCATGACCTCGGCGGACACTCACTGAGAACAGCCACCATATCTGATGCAGTGCGGTCTTTACAAGCTACCTGTGGACAGGTGGGTGTGTCCATCTTGCAGATGGGGTGTGGAGGTGCAGGAAGTGGAGTGGAAGGACCAGCCCATGGCCTTCAGTTGCTGCTTTCTTCCTGCAGTGTTCCTGAGAGACCCTCAGGTCCTTGAGTCCCAGGGAGCTAGGGGACAGAGGAGGAAGTCAAAGGGAATGTAGCTATGAGGGTGGCGGGGCTGGGGCTGCCATCCCCCAGCTGCCCCGGTTCTCTCCACCTGCCTTGTCCCCACAGGGGGTCCTGAAGGTCCATTTACTTCCATCCCAGGTGCCTGCCCACTTGTAGGTCCCACTTACTGTGAGTGGTCCCACTTGTGAGCAGGAGCAGGGTCTGTTGGATCATCCCAGGCTCTCGGGGAATCTGATGGGGTGAAGATCATGGGGTTCTGAGAACAGGGGCAACTACCACGTTTTCAAGTGAGATTTCAAAGGTGGAATCACCATATGGGCGCAAAGGGGGCAGAGGAGGGGGGACATAAGAAGCCTACGCCTCCTCCCACCCATTGCAGGGAGCTTTACCACCTCTCTGTCCTCTGGGAGGGGCTGCGGTAGGAACAAGTGTGGGGGCAACCTAGTCAGGTTGCTGTGGCTCCCCACTTGCAGACAGGCTCCCGTTCTGTCTCCTGTCTTTCCACCCACCCTGCCCTCATCTTGGCTCCTGTGTCTGCCCTGAGAGGCCCCAGGGATAGGGGTGAGGATAGGTGTCAGGGTGCTACAGAGGCGTAGGGTTTGCTGTGCTTAGCATCTGCCCCCAATACGTACTGCGGGGCCTGTAGGTACAGCACAAGTCAGGACCCAGGGAGCCCAGGGGGGAGGGTGCCGTGTGTGTGTGTGTGTGTGTGTGTGTGTGTGTGTGTGTGTGACACCCGAGGACACCTTTGTCTACCAGGGAGCTCAGTCTGGTGGCTCAGCTCACCTGAGCTCATAGCTTGTTTCTAAGCCACTGGAGGCCCACCTGACCCGTGGGTGAGGGAGCCACTGGGCCCCAGAGGACCCTTCCAAGCTTATCTTCTGTGAGGTTGGCTCTTCACTGGGACTTCCTGGGTGTTATCCCTTCCCTAAGGAGCCCCATAGGGGAGCTAAGTCAGGGCTGTCACCTGCTATTGTGAATGAGCCCCACGGGGAGAGGGGCAGAGCTCTGAGGCCTTAACTTCCCTGCCAAGGGGTGGACAGGGGCTACAGACCTTGCACTTAACAAGCTAGGCATAAACAGTCTCCTTCCCAGCCCTCTACTGGAGGGGGACAAACCCCTTGCTTGGGGCCTAGCTTTACTACTGGGGTACCCTTGATTTGTAAGAGGTCAGCCTTGTTCTTCAGGAAAAGCTGGCCCTGGAGCTTGAAAGGGGCTGGTGCAGCCTAGCT